CATGGCCATCCTCAACTCCTTCATCGCCGACCAGTTTGAGAAGATTGCCACCGCCGCCGCCCAGCTGTCCCGCGTCAACAAGAAGCCCACCCTGACCTCCCGCGAGATCCAGACCGCCGTGCGCCTGGTGCTGCCCGGCGAGCTGGCCAAGCACGCCGTGTCTGAGGGCACCAAGGCCGTGACCAAGTTCACCTCCGCCTAAGCGCATGGCGCCGCCCGCAACCCCCCAAACCCACACATAAAAACAAAACTGGTGTTATTCAACACCACCACCGCTCACCGGGAATCAATGCACTTGCTTGAGGGAGAAGGGCAGGCAGCCAGTGGAGGGGTGTGTGTTGGCAGCAGCGTGCCGCCTCCCCTTCCCGGGCAGGCGGTGCAAGGGGGGCAGCCCGCGCAAAGGACAGGGCAGCCAGGGGTGGTGTACGAGGGAGCAGTCCTGTGCACGGCTTGGCCTGGTGGCTGGCTGGCCTGTGCGCAGCGCCGCTGCTCTGCTCCACGGCTGACGTTGGGCTGCGGGGCTGGCTTGCGGCATCAGAGCGGCCATGGAGATGGGGGAGATGAGAGCGGCAAAGAGGGAAGGGAGCTCTGCGCAAAAGGCTTGCATCGCTGTTGCTTGGAGCTTGCCGTGCGCAAGGGGCATGGCAGCAGCGCTGTTGCCCTCGCTGGCAGCCCGATCCTCTTGCCTGGCCGCAGTGGAACGCTTGGGAGGCGAAGCTGGCTGGCATGGTGGGACAATGCGTTCCCTTTGCAATTAGCCATTGTGTGTTTACAAACAAGGAAGCAAACAGAACGGGCAGCGCTGCCTTGTCGGTTCACTCCAGCAGCCTCGCCGCCTGCAGCCCCAGCACCAGGCTGCGCACGGTCACGCTCGGGAGCAGCACCAGGTTCGCCAGCGGCAGATTGGTCAGCGGGGAGCGCGGCCTGCCGCTGCCTGGCGCGCCATCCAGGCTGCAGGGCAGGCAGAGAGGGAGGCAAAGGGGTGGGCTGGAAGGGCTGCCAGCAGACAAGAGGGAACGTGGCATCACGAAACACGCCGCTGGGCACAGGCGTGCGCTGGATGCTGCTGCGCTCCCTCCACCCCCACACACCCACCTTCGATGGCGGGCTCTCTCGTAGGTGCGCCCATCTGCCGCCACTACGGGGTCACGCATCGGCTCCTGGGTGATGGGGCACAGCAGCTCGCTGAGCAGGCCAGGGGGCAGGCTGGCAGTGTCAGGAAGCGGGGCCTGGCCTGCTGGCGCAGCGCCCGGGGCGGGGCTGGCTGGCGCTGGTGCCGCTTCTGCTGCCGCCATGCTCGTGGCTGGCAACGGATCGTTCACGGCAGCAGAAGGGGGGCTCTCCCCTGCTGCCTGCACCCCCAGCTGCCGCAGCAGCTGTGCCAGCTCAGCACCATCGTTGGCACCGCTGCTGCCTCCAGTTGCTGAAGCTGACGCTTCTGCTGGTGCCCCTTCAGCTCCCCCGGTGGCAGTGGCACCTCCGCTTCCAGCTGCTGCCTGCGAGTGTGGTTGGGCTGCTGCCGTCTGCCCTCCTCCCTTGTTCTTCTTCTTCTTGCAGCATTCGGCGGCTGAGGTGCCGAATCGGGCGCCTGAGGTGCCGAATTGTGCACCTTGCTGCCGCTGGCTGCCGCTGGCTGCTGCGGGCTGCTGGATGCTGAACCACCAGGTCCCACATTCGGCGGCTGAGGTGCAGAATCAGGCGCCTGAGGCGCAGCATTCGGCGGCTGAGGTGCCGAATGGGGCGCCTGAGGTGCCGAATCGGGCACCTTGCTGCCGCTGGCTTCCGCGGGCTGCTGCGGGCTGCTGGACGCTGAACCACCAGGTCCCACATTCGGCGGCTGATGTGCAGAATCAGGCGCCTGAGGCGCAGCATTCGGCGGCTGAGGTGCCGAATCGGGCGCCTGAGGCGCTGAATTGTGCACCTTGCTGCCGCTGGCTGCCGCTGGCTGCTGGATGCTGAACCACCAGGTCCCACATTCGGCGGCTGAGGTGCAGAATCAGGCGCCTGAGGCGCAGCATTCGGCGGCTGAGGTGCCGAATCGGGCGCCTGAGGTGCCGAATCGGGCACCTTGCTGCCGCTGGCTGCCGCTGGCTGCTGCGGGCTGCTGGATGCTGAACCACCAGGTCCCACATTCGGCGGCTGAGGTGCAGAATCAGGCGCCTGAGGCGCAGCATTCGGCGCCTGAGGTGCCGAATCGGGCACCTTGCTGCCGCTGGCTGTCGCTGGCTGCTGCGGGCTGCTGGATGCTGAACCACCAGGTCCCACATTCGGCGGCTGAGGTGCAGAATCAGGCGCCTGAGGCGCAGCATTCGGCGGCTGAGGTGCCGAATCGGGCGCCTGAGGTGCCGAATCGGGCACCTTGCTGCCGCTGGCTGCCGCTGGCTGCTGCGGGCTGCTGGACGCTGAACCACCAGGTCCCACATTCGGCGGCTGAGGTGCAGAATCAGGCGCCTGAGGCGCAGCATTCGGCGGCTGAGGTGCCGAATCGGGCGCCTGAGCGCCGAATGGTGCACCTTGCTGCCGCTGGCTGCCGCGGGCTGCTGGACGCTGAACCACCAGGTCCCACATTCGGCGGCTGATGTGCAGAATCAGGCGCCTGAGGCGCAGCATTCGGCGGCTGAGGTGCCGAATCGGGCGCCTGAGGCGCTGAATTGTGCACCTTGCTGCCGCTGGCTGCCGCTGGCTGCTGGATGCTGAACCACCAGGTCCCACATTCGGCGGCTGAGGTGCAGAATCAGGCGCCTGAGGCGCAGCATTCGGCGGCTGAGGTGCCGAATCGGGCGCCTGAGGTGCCGAATCGGGCACCTTGCTGCCGCTGGCTGCCGCTGGCTGCTGGACGCTGAACCACCAGGTCCCACATTCGGCGGCTGAGGTGCAGAATCAGGCGCTGAGGCGCAGCATTCGGCGCCTGAGGTGCCGAATCGGGCACCTTGCTGCCGCTGGCTGTCGCTGGCTGCTGCGGGCTACTGGATGCTGAACCACCAGGTCCCACATTCGGCGGCTGAGGTGCAGAATCAGGCGCCTGAGGCGCAGCATTCGGCGGCTGAGGTGCCGAATCGGGCGCCTGAGGTGCCGAATCGGGCACCTTGCTGCCGCTGGCTTCCGCGGGCTGCTGGACGCTGAACCACCAGGTCCCACATTCGGCGGCTGAGGTGCAGAATCAGGCGCCTGAGGCGCAGCATTCGGCGGCTGAGGTGCCGAATCGGGGGCCTGAGGCGCCGAATTGTGCACCTTGCTGCCGCTGGCTGCCGCTGGCTGCCGCGGGCTGCTGGATGCTGAACCACCAGGTCCCACATTCGGCGGCTGAGGTGCAGAATCAGGCGCCTGAGGCGCAGCATTCGGCGGCTGAGGTGACGAATCGGGGGCCTGAGGTGCCGAATTGTGCACCTTGCTGCCGCTGGCTGCCGCGGGCTGCTGGATGCTGAACCACCAGGTCCCACATTCGGCGGCTGAGGTGCAGAATCAGGCGCCTGAGGCGCAGCATTCGGCGGCTGAGGTGCCGAATCGGGCGCCTGAGGTGCCGAATCGGGCACCTTGCTGCCGCTGGCTGCCGCTGGCTGCTGCGGGCTGCTGGATGCTGAACCACCAGGTCCCACATTCGGCGGCTGAGGTGCAGAATCAGGCACCTGAGGCGCAGCATTCGGCGCCTGAGGCGCCGAATCAGGCACCTTGCTGCCGCTGGCTGTCG